TTGAGTATTAAAATAAAAATTTTATTGAACTTGAAACTAAATTGAGAAAATTTTCAAAAAATGTAGAATTTTTAAATAAATATTTAAAAAAAAAATAAATAAGGCGCACAATTAGAAGTGTCATTATGACAAAAATAAAGATCAGAAAAAATGATGATCATTTTTTGTAGTTCGAGGAAAATTATTTTAAAAATTGTTTCTCGATTTAGTTTTCAGTTTATACTTTATCATAAAATAATTTTCTCTACATATATTAAAATAGCGAATAATATAGAATTAAATTTCTATTCTTTATTAAAATAAAATTAATTTTATTTTTATTTAATATATAAAAAATAGAAATAATATTTGAGAATTTGATATATTAATGGAGTGTGAAAAAAAAAAAAATTTATAATTTAGCCTTGTTCAGGAGAGTAAAAGAAGTATCGGTTTTGAAATTATTTATTAAAGCGCAAATTACGCTTAATAAGAATACTCCAAGGTACTAAAAAAAAAAAAAAAAAACTCGCTCTTTTATCAAGTAGCTAGTATTGAAGCTACTTTTATAATAGACTTGCCGCGTTCTCCTGGTAAGAAAAAATTTTAACCGTTTCCATATACCACTTTGTATAAATTATCTGTAACTGAATACGCTATATCGCTTTCATCTTATTCTCTCAAAAAACAATCTCTATTTAAATGCTCTTGTATAACTAATATATTTCCGCTCCAAAGAGCAATCGATAGTTGGCACAAAATTTCTCGTTTTTTTTTTTTTTAAAGTCCTTAAAAAAATTTATTTGGCAAAAGATATTTTTTATTTTTTTTTAATTAAAAATTAAAAAAGAATTGTTTTTTTTTTTCAAAAAAAAAATATAGACTTAATAAATAATATTAATTAATTATTTGTAACTTTATGGAAAAAATTTTTCCAAAATATTTTTTATAAAAACCAAAAAAAAAAAAAATACCGAAATTATACGATTGCTACTTTGGAACAATAATCCAATTCTGTAAATCAATATTCAAAAGTTACAAAAAAAAACAAAAAAACAAAAAAAAACGCGAAAAATACAAGAGGAAATGCCGAGAAATCGTGTTCAATATATACATTATATTAAAAAAAAAAAAAGAAAAATTTTTGCATGAAAAAAAAAAATGCGCACATTCGCTGCAAAATTCATATTTATATAACATCTCTCAAAAATATTATCGAGCTGCATACATACCTATATCTATATATATTTGAATATTTTAAAAGTTTTACGCGGCTCTCGGTTTTTGTCTTGTTATTAATATATATGCACATTACACACACCAGTTATTCTTAAATAAAAAAAAAAAAATAATCAATTTACCACACTGATTAATACTGTTTAAAAAAAAACGCGCAGTTTCTTCCTGTTCGCGCAATTATAAAATGCGCGCACTATGGAAGGACCTCGTAAATTCCTGCATATCTAAAAATACTCTTATATTAAAAAAATACCCATTATGCATTTGTAGCATTGATAAAAAAAAAAAAAAAAAATTAGTGAAAAAAAAGAAAATCCATTTTTGGTCGCGATATAATAAAGACATCGTGGGGCGAAAAAAAAAAAAATATTTCATATTATTCCATCAAAAAAAAAAAAAAAACCAAAAAAAACGTTCGAAAAATAAAGTCATCTTTTATAATAATATTAAAAAAAAAATAGTGAACGTGTAATTGTACAAGTGATCAATCCCCCACCCTCCGAAAAAAAAGAGAGAAAAAAAAATCAATTTCGAAATGGTGATAAATAAAAACGAGATGCGCTATTCCATTTATAATATACATATATATAATAATAATAATATTATCCTCTCTTATATTCACATAACTAAAAATCTCAAAAAGGACAAATTCCTGTTTATTCTAAAAAAAAAAAGAATAACCCCTTTCCCTTTCACTCAAAAAACCTCTTGATGCTGAAATACGTTCAACCATAAAGAACAAACAAATATCTATAAATATCTCGATTTTATATATATTTTTTTTTTTATTATTATTTATTATTATTGACAATTTGTATTAACAAAAAAAAAAAAATTACCGTTAATGATATTTCTATTAACAACATTAATTAATAATACAAAACTAATAATAATTATTTATAATAATTTATAATTAATTCTAAACTATTAAATTCATAATAATTTATAATTAATTATAAATTATTATGAATTTAATAATTATTTATAATTAATTATAAATTACTAATTTAAATATTATTTATAATTAATTATAAATTACTAATTCAATAATTATTTATAATTAATTTAAAAAACATTAGTTACTTTTTGAATAATTATTATGAATTATTAATAAATTATTCTTTTATTATTAATTATTATTATTATTATTATTATTATATTATTATTATTATTAATTATTATTATTATTATTATTATTATTATTACTATTATTATTACTATTATTATTATTATTATTATTATTATTATTATTATTATTAATTATTATTATTATTAATATTATATTTTAAAAATTTTATTTATTAAAAGATTGAGCCATTTTTTTTTTATATAAATAAAAATTTGGTGTCAGAGGTTTTTTTTTCATATATAACGAAAAGAGCGTTAAAAAGATAGTGCGAAGTTTATTATATATATATACTAATGGGATAAATCTTCGTTCTGCTGCATCCTTATATGAGAGTCTTTATTGTTGTTAAAAAAAAAAAAGGACTGTTATTAATTATTAATATTATATACGCTACATAAATTATATATATATACATATACATATGTACAGAGTCTTCTTTGCCCGATTGAGCACACTTCGAGATTATAATTATAATAGTGAATGTTTTTTATAAAGTAGTTAAAATGCCTCATGCGCTCTTTTTTTATTGAAAAAAAAAAAAAATAAATAAATAAATAATAATATATATGAAAAAAAAAGGTTTTCACGCACTATTATAAATGGCAAAATCGAAAAGAGAGAAAGAGCGAGAGAGAGAGAAAAAAACTCACATTTTTCACACAGACACACACCCCCCTACCCCTCGTTTTATCCTAAATAAAATTTTGTCACTCTCGTCGCATCAACCGTCGAATCAAGTACAATAATTAATTGGATGTTGTACAAAGTGAAAAAACAAAAAAAAACAAAAATAAGACACTTCACGCGTTCCTTTTATCTAATATAATATGAAATCGAGAAACGTCTACGTTTTTATATACCGCGTTTATTAAAAGAAAAAAAAAAGTAATAATTAAATACGTATTTCAATTATTTTCCCCGATGATAATATATACAAGAAAAAAAAAGTCCAAACCAAATGCATTATTATAATATTAAAATAATCGTAATTGGTAATTTTATATAGATCTAGTAATTAGCCGCGATATTAGAATCCATATATTGAGTCACTCACGGAAATAGGGGATAAATTTTTAATTTCTATTATTTTAGGTATTAATAATTTTTTTTGGTGATATTTATAATTATTATAAAATTACAATTATATTATAAATTATTATAATTTTAAATAAATTTTTACTCAATTGTCTTAATTTAAATTTTTATTCAAAAATTAAAAATATCAATTTAAAAATTAATTCACATTTATCCTTTCTCCGTAGAGATTCAATTTAAATGAAAAATAATCTGAATAATTATTTGCCATTTGATTCCCTTTTTTTTCAATAATTAGAAAATGAAAAGAGTAAAGAAAAAAAAAAAATTTCTTTTCTTTTTTTCTACAAAAAGGAAACTTTTTTTTTGAACGAGATTCCACGGTGAAGCGGACGAAAAAGAATGCAAAAATATATATTTAAAAAAAAAAAAATAAAAACATTGAGCGTCGCGCAATATGGATCGATATAAGTTAATTAACAAAAAAAAAAGAAGAAATAAATAAAATATAAAAATGAAAATAAATCGCATTGTTCCGTACCGAGTACGGTTATATAGTAGCTATCAAAATAATAATTTATCATTTAGAGATAAATTTAATAGAATTAAATACATATACATATATATAATTATTAAATGAAAAAAAAAGGAGCACGAACGAAGAAGGCCTGCATCGACCATGATCCTATTTCCCCGTCCAGTTTCCCTTGTCACTTCCCGAAAAAAAAAAAAAATAATAACAAAAAAAGAAAAAAAAAAAAAAACCACCGCCCATTCAACACAGGAAAACATTGTAATCTACTGTAGATTGTTGTAGATAAACTATACGGTTTAACCGTACATTGTTACTTTTTGTCGACAATATAAAATACACAGATATATAAGTATTTATCTCGAGTTGCGTTTCATTTTTTTACCATTTTTGTTAAAAAAAAAATTCTATTTAAAAAAGTGTTTTTTCTATATTTTAACTTTTTTATTTATTTTGTAATTTATTCAATAGAATTAATTAATAATTAATTATTACTATTACTAACAATCAATTACTTTCAATTCAACAAATTAATCATTTTTAGCTCCATTAACAATAGAATTAATTTTTTTCTAATTACATAATACTTTTTAAAACTTTATATAATTTTTAGAAATTGATTTTTTGTATTAAAATTTCAAAAAATTTAAATGTTCCCGCACTCGTGCTCTTGTGTTGGTAATTCTGATGGTTGCCTGCTTTTTCGCGCATGTGCACATCTCTATTCTCAAAGTTGACATTTACTCACAAAAATACCGCAAATTATCAATTTTTTAACTAATAAAATAGTGTAAAATTTTTGTGTTTTTCATTAAAAGTGTAAATTAATATACCACTCTTCATGATTATATTTAATTAGAGTGATTAATTTTGATAAATTGTCATTTAAAGTGAAAGTGCGCAATAAACACGTGGTTTCCTAACCTTACTTTTCTTCTTATATACAGCGTGTATAATATCCATAAAGGATAAAATAAAGCATGACAATCTATCACGACGAAGTGGAACTTGAAGATTTTATCTACGATTCAGAGGAAGAGATATACACTTATCCATGTCCATGCGGTGATTTATTTCAAATATCAAAAGCAGACTTAATTGCAGGTGAAACCGATGCCTCTTGTCCCTCGTGTTCTCTTGTTGTTAAAGTAATTTATGATTTAAATAAACTTCTTAAAGAGGAAGAGGAGACTGATTCTTTAAAGAAATCACAGCAACAAACAGAGAAAGCATAGGTATTATTGACATTTTTTTTATTCGCTGTGTCTTTAGCCCGCTAACGAGGAGGAATAGTGGCGATAGATTATTTAGCCCGCTAAGCGGAAGAAATGCAAGATTTTGGCTATTTAGCCCGCTTATTTTATATAAAATCACCGAAATAAGAACTATTTAGTTTGCAGTAAGTATTTAAAATATTTTTTATTTTTCTTATTTATTTATTCTAGAATAATAAAATATATATTTTTTTTGTTATATAAAGTGTATATTAAGTGCAATTAAAAATAAGGAAATCGATTATTTAAATATATTAATGTGATTTAATACAAAGTTTATTTGCTCCAAAATGAATTGTTTTGGTAGGGTTGTTTATTTAAAATATATTATATTATTTAATATAATTAATTATTTATTTAAAGTTGTGGTAAAAAAAAATTTTTTTGTTTAAACCAAATTTATTGTAAGAAAACTGTTTAACTACAGGTTAAATTTGGTTTAAACAGAAAATTTTTTTTACCACAACTTTAAATAAATAATTAATTAAATTAAATAATATAATATATTTTAAATAAACAACCCTACCAAAACAATTTATTTTAAAGCAAATAAACTTTGTATTAAATCACATATTAATATATTTAAATAATCGATTTCCTTATTTTTAATTACACTTAATATACACTTTATATAATAAAATATATTTTATTATTCTAGAATAAATAAATAAGAAAAATAAAAAATATTTTAAATACTTACTGCAAACTAAATAGTTCTTATTTTGGTGATTTTTTAAAATAAGCCGGCTAAATAATCTATCGCCACTATTTAGCTAGCTAAATAGACACAGCGTTTTTTATTATATTATAATTTTCCAAAATATTTTTATTTTCTTCGAAAACAATAATTATTAGAAATTAATATCTAAAAAATTTATATTCTATTTCAGATTATTTATAGAATTAAAAAGAAAAGAATTTAAAATGGCGGGTCGTGGTCGAGGACGTGGAAAACCGACAATGTCAATATCAAATGAACAATTGGGACTCAGTAAAGAACAACAACCACCTCAAGTTGCACAACCACCACCAAAATTTCCACCTCTTATTTATAAACCAGTAACATTTAATATCACTGATGAACTTAGCTATTTATTCGAATTGAAACGTGATTTTGCCGAATTTATGAAAGAATCAGCATATAATGTTGAACCGGTAATTATTAAAAAAGATATTGATCGTTATTCCGATCATTATGTGAGTAAAGTCACGAGTTTTGAAACAAGATACGATTGGTCAAGAATGCCCGTTGAATTGAAGCCATTGACAAAAAAACGTAAATCCGTGAATACTGGTGGTGGTGGTGTTATTTTAGCAAAACGAAGGGACATAAATATTGAAGAGAAATTAAAAGAACTTGAAAAGAAGGAAGTTAATCATAATTCAGATATTGAGGAAGATGCAAAGGAAGAAGAAGACAAGGAGGAGAAAGATCCAGATGAAATAATTGAAGATGAAGAAGAAGATGTTGATGAGGAAATGGACGATGGAACTGATTATGTTAATAATTATTTTGATAATGGAGAAGGTTACGATGAGGAAGAAGATAATATCGACGATGGACCAGTATATTAAGGTATTATAATTTTTTTTTTACTTATTTTAATTTATTAATTAAATTTATTTTCATTTTCCATGATTAATAATATATTTTTAATTAATATTCCATATATTTCTAAAAGAATTTTTACTTTTTCAACAATCGGAAATATTCTCAATTGGTAAATTTTCAAACTTTCCAACAGTTGAGAATAAAGTAGATTTCTATTCTTGACTCTATCTCTTAATGATAATTTAAAAATTTACTTACAGATAGTAAAAAACGCTTTTTTTTAATTAAATATTAAACAATATTGAATTTGAATTAGTTTTTAATTAAAATTTTTAACTAATATGTACAATTAAAACTAATCTGCTTAGTACTTAATAATAGTACAAAAAAAATAGTTATAGTAAAATTAATTTTCAAAGTTTGTCTTTTAACTTACTTGCAAAATTGAATTATTCTCGAATCTTGACACAAAATGATTTTTAAAAATTTTAATACTTCACTTTAAATTTTTTGATAAAATTGTAAACATTTTTTCTGAGGTTGAAAGGTTTTTTTTTGTGTTTGTTAAATACTAAACTTTATTTTTAAATGCAGAATGCAAACTGCTGACATTGAATTTTGAATTCCAAGCACGTCTGCCACACTCACGTAACACATTACAGAAGCAGAATCTGCATTGGTTACAAACAGTTTCTGTATCACTGTCCTAAACATAAGCCTCCTATCAACCTTTATTTAAATAGCGAGAAAAAGTCGGAAATTTTTTTTTTGTTTATCATTTCACAAATATTTATGTTTTATAAACAAATTAAGTTTGTTGAAATTTTTTTCTAGAGAACAATAAAATTCTTATTACTAAGAGTTAAATTAAATAATTACTCTTAAATTAATATTCATCAATTTTAATAGTTTAAAAAAAAAAGTTCTCTTTATTTAAAACATATTTATATAATGAAAATATATATATAGACAAAAGAATAATTTGTGTATACATATGTTTGAATGAAAAAAGAAACGAATCGCATTTAACAAAAATTGCGGTTACAAAGGATTGAGATTTAATTAACGTTCTCAAAAAGTTTCACAACGAAAATAAAATTGTGTTGAATGAAATGAAATCGTTTCATACTCGTTTCGTATGCAAGAGAGTAATCAAAAGGAGTATATATAAAAGGGGACAAGTCATTCTCTAAAGTTCAGTGAAAATTTGACTGTCGAGTGAATCCTTTAATTCATTTAATATGCAGGTAAAACAAATGATTATATGAAATATTCTCTCATTTTATTTTTTCATAAAAGAAAAATAAATAAAATCAATGGAGAAAAAAAGGGAATTTAATTAAAATTCTTAATATTAAATTAATTGAAATTATTGAAATATTAGAAATTTTGTTTTGAAATTTTATTTTGCAGAAATTTATTTTTGCCTTTTTCTTTGAATTGGCATTGGCCGATTTTGCTTCATATGCACCAAGGGGATGGCGACCGCATGGTCAATCGTTTAATCCGAGCAAAAATCAATTACAATCATACGGTCCACCTGCTGCATCCCTAACTTACGGATCATCGGAGCTAACCACACGCTATCCACCATTTGCAACAACAAAACCACCACAGACCACTACAACAACCACAACAACGACCTCGAGAAGCAGAAAACCAACAACGGCTACTACTCCACCTCCCATTACTGAGGAAGACATCGGAAATAATCCTGCTTTGGCCATTGCGAATTCTTTCGCATTCAACAGACCAGTTTATATCTATAATACGTATCCTTTTTCAGGCTTCACTGTAATATGACCAAATAGGAACTTTCACGAAGCTTACTAACTTCGCGTTTTCAATCTGAGACTGATATTCACGAGTGAAAAGATAGAGTTACAGTTTTCATTTCTTTTTTTTTTTGCGTCAGAAATTGAAAAAGAAAAAAGAATTATAATTTTTTTCATGAAATTTTCTAAAAAAAAAAAAAAAAAAACGTGATAAGAAATGAAATTTTAAAATCGTTTGGATTATTTCGATACTTTTTTCAGGTAAATATTGAAATTAAATTTAATATTCTAATTATTGAATATTAATATTTAATTTGATAAATAATAATATTGAATAAAGTAAAATTCGATATTTAATATAGAGCATGTAATTAGCTGTTAGTTTACAAGTAAATGGTTGAGTGGTGAGGAAATTTATATTGAAAAACACAAATGAAATACAAATTATTTATCTAGAAAATATTGACAATTGTTAATTATTTATTTGACTATTTTTATCGTTCAAAAAAAAACACTTTCTAAAAATAATATACATTTTTTAAAAACTAAATAATAATTAAAATCCGATATTGCATAAAATTGAGAACAAAATTTTGTTTATATTTTCTCTCGATAATAATAATAATTGTGTATAAGGCTTTTCACTTGACATTTGACGATTTTGAAATCCAATTTTCGAATCAAGTACCGAAATATAAAATCTTTCTCGGTACTTGATGCATTAATCCATATGTCAAGTATCGTTAAACGATTGATTTTTATTTTCTACTTTCGTAGAAAATACATCTCTTTCTCTCTTTCTATGTACCTTAGATTTCAAGTTAATACCTGATCTTTTGTTGAAAGGGCAGTTCCAATAAACTTTTATGAAAAGGGTAGAGAAGATGCTTTCGACATTCAACAAATAATTGCAACAACGGACACTTTTAGATGGTTCGCTGCTAAGTGCAAAATAAAAAAACAAAAAAAAAAAATACCATTTTAAATTGACATCTCAAGAAGCTATTAAGTAAGTTTAATCATTATATAAGTATTTCGTCTATAATATCAATTTTATTAAAATGTTATTTTTTAATAACATATTTTTTAATTATTTAATTTAAATTTTTTTAAAATTATTTTTATTGAACCACATGAAATGTAGTATGTATAAGATTATATAAACGGATTAAATTTTCTTCTTCTTTTGAAAAAAACATCAAAAGTAGAATAATCTTTTTTTTCGAAAATATTTAAATCAAAATCTACTAAATAATTCAATATGGTGTCTGTTGTTTCACTCGATAAGGAAATTTTGATGCTCAGTTTACTATTAGAGTCTAATGATAGTTCCTAACAATCTCCTTACCTAGAAACTCTGAGTTTCTCAACATTACCTTTGCTGACAGTACTATTCAAATTTACTGACAATTAAATGAATTATATATTATTATTTTAACCAGTTATATTAATTAATTAAAATTCATAATAAAAATTAATAAATATAAGTAAAAAATAAATAAAAAATAATAATAATTAGTATTTTGTTAATTGTTGAAAACAAACAATATGAATTTACAAAATTTTTTGCAAAAATAATTCTTTTCCATTATTTTTTCTATTAAAAAAATTGTTTTCGCCTCAAAAATGACGTGTTTCTTTTTAGAATATTTTTAAAAAAAAATTTTTCTGATCACTTCTCACTTGACACATTTTTTTTTATTTTTTATTTCAGTTCCGTCAAACCACATAGTAATCGAGTACACTTTGACACTCGAAATATATATATATGTGTGTGTGTGTGTAAACAATGAAAAAATGAAAAATACATTCCACGTGGTTCAATAATAATAAAAAAAAATAGAAATAACAAAATTCCACGATAACTTTTTCTTTTGTTAGGAAAAAAGAAATTACAAAAAAAAAAAAAAATTGATAGATTGCACGCTCCTTTCAAAGGCAGATGGAAAATTTATTCCGAAATGCTCACTTATTTTTCCGCAATTCATTCGCGAATCAGAAACTGGAAAAGTTGAATTTTTTTTTCTTCTCACTATTGAAAAATATTTATGCTTTTTTTTTAGATTTACAATTTTTCTTTGCTTATAAGAGGTAATTAGTAAAAGAAAAAAAAAACCATTACTCCTTCATTTACTTTTTAAAGAAAAAGTTTTCAAATATATATTTAAAGATTAAGTCATAAAATTTTCTTTAGAGATACTTTATATTATTTTATTAAGAAGCAAATGATGCAATGAAGGAGAAAAAAAGTGTAGTGAACTTTTTATATATGGAAAAAAAAGTTTAACAACTTTGCGGTTCAAAAAAAAAAAAAAAAAAAAAGTATAAACTTTTTTTTTTCAAGTAATAGTACGTGAGAAAAATAAAATTTACTTTTCATGCTACGTAGGTGACGAGTAGAAAAGTCGGTTCTTTTTTTCGTTTTAACATATAAAGAAAATTTTATTTTTTAAAAATTTATCTTTTTTTTTCTTTATACGTGAATTACATCTCAAGAATCTTTTAGTTTAGAGTAGTAAAGAAAAAATTTAAATCAAAAAAGAATAAAAGAAATTAGTAAAAAAAAAAATTCACTTTCACTTCTAATTTTCATTTTTAAAAATTTGACATTTTTCATTAATTTTTCAATTAATGAAAATTGCGAATGATGTAAAATGAAAATTAAGAAAATCTTATTAAAAATGGAATTCGAGAGTTGAAATTAAAGAAAACGAAATTAATTAAAGAATTAAGAAATTAATTGAAGAATTAATTTCGAAAATTAATTCAAGAATTTTAATACTTTAATTAAAAGGAATTACAGTGTGACTTGAATTTTTGCTAAAAAAAAAAAAAAAAAAAAAAAAATCTATAAATCTCAGTTAGTATCGTGGAGTTGAAAGCAACAGAGTGAATATCTTTTTCATGAGAGGCATTTTTAAAGTAACAATTCCATTTCTGCTTTTTGTTCTGTCATATTTTACTATGTCGTCATTTATATTTTTCTATCCTTCTCGCACTTAAGTTTTCTCATAATATTCGTTTTCTCTCTTTATGTACATATATATAAAGAATAAGCGACAAGGATTTGTTTCCAGAGTAAATAATGATTAGCATACACCAGCTTCGTAAATTCACAAAAAGCATGTCTCTTACGACCTTTGCTTTTATTTCATATATATATATATTTTTTTTTTCAAGAAATTAATAATTTAAATTGTAAATAGAAAAACAAAAATTATTAATTTTTATAAATTGAAATTTTTTTTCCGAATTCTATACCTTTTGACTGACTGAAAATTTGATAATAAAATACTGATACTAAAATTTAAAAAAATTCTATACTTATTTTTACTACTGATATTTATACAAAAAAAAAAAAATTTAATTTTTTTAAATAAAAATTTTGAATTAAATCTGTATTGTTAGATCATAATTTTTGAAAGAACTTTTTACTTTTTGACTGTAATTTATTTTTTTACTACTAACATTAAAACTTGAAGATTTAAAAACAATTTTTCCTGACTAAATCCTTACTTAACTACTTAGAAGAAAATTAGAAGAGATTTTAAACGTGTTGTCTGACTAAAACCATCCTTAACTACTGTTGCCAAGCTTTCAAGAATTTTTCACGCTTCGCCTGACTAAAACTGACTTTCACTTTTACAAAAATAAAAAAAACTCGAAAATTTTTAAAATTCAATTAAATAACGAAGAAAAAAAATATGCAGATTTTAAAAAATGGTTTTCTAATTAAAATATCAATAAAATGCAATTAGCAAATTTTTTTGGAGTAACAGGAAGGAAAATTTATTTGAAATTGTGTTGTTGTTTTTTTTTTTTTTATTTCTTTTTTTGTTTTTAGATCGACATTGCGTCAAATGAAACTGCGAAAGCAGAATTTCAAGATCGTTATTTGTAATTCTGTTTACGCAGGACTCACTCAAGCGACATGAGGATCTCACCACTGTGCGAATATACACAGAACTGAAATGGTAAAGGAATAATGTTAGCGGAAAGTAAACATGAGTATAAACAGTAAACGTAAACTGTAGAAGCGAATACAACTCGATTTCATATAACTGAGCATTATATACATGCGGTGTGAAGTAACCGTTGTCCGTATATAGACGCGCGTGATTCTAAACGAAATTGCGTCCCTTGGGAAAACGAAAATCATACCATATAATATCATAAAAAAAAAAACCGAAAACGATTTTCTAAATTTTAGAATAATAATATTTTTTCTTTTTTTTTTTAATTTAATTAAATAATTTTAGAATAATATTTTTTAATAATAATAATAATTTAAGGATCTCGTAAATATTAATCAACAATATAATAAATAATGGATCTAAAATTAATTCAACAATAATAATTTAATTTAATAATAGTAATAGTATTATTTTTTAAACAAAAAATTTTTTTCAGAAATTTCTTAATTAAATCCTATACTTAAATAATATATTTTTTAATCCAAAAATTTGTGAGAAATATTTTTCGTTTGATAAATATATTAATTATTAAATAATAATAATAAAAAATATTTTTAGGCAAAACTTTGTATAAAACAAATTTTAATTTTTTGCAAAACTTTTTTGAATAATTTTAATTTTTTTTTTGTTTTTTTTTTTTGTATTTATAGAAAAAAATTGCAGTTTTAGTCAGAGGAGAATTTATGAAAATTTTGACAAAAAATTTATATAATGCACATGTGATCACTCAAAAGTTAACATGTCCAAGATACATAAATAAAATTTCTCACTAATGTGAAAGCGTAGCGATGCTCGCTAGCGCATTCATCGACGTCACATCAACGATAAAATTGCACTTTTAAAAGTGTTCGGAGTAAAAATACAATTCGTCTTATTTGACAATGATAAAACACTTCTTTCGTCGTCAAGACAAGTGTGCAAATAATTTCCACGCAGTAAAAAAAAAAAAAAAAAAAAAAAAAAAAGAAATAAAATAAAAATTCATATAAGTAAAACAGATTGAAATACAAATAAAAAGCATATTATTGCAAAAATATCAATTTTAGAAAGAAAAATTTCATTTTATTTTAAAAATAAATAAATTTCAGTAAAAATTAGATAATTAAAAAAAAATTTGTTTAATAGTCTCAGTAAATAAAAGCAGAATTTGATTAATTTATATTTTAAAAAAATTACATCTGTATCGAGAGAAATTAATTTATTGAAGTTTATTATAATATTTTTTCATGTACCATATGCGCTTTTATAAATTGAATCATATTCATAATGAGATTGCCTTTCTCCATGCTTTCCATGAACTGTAGAAGAATTTTCCCCCTCTGTTTCTCTACATTTCTCATCTCTCTCATTTTCCACTCTGTTATAGAATGCAACTTTTCTTATTGCATAGCCAATCAAAAATCCTCCTAAGAAAACCTATTTAAAAAAAAAAATACATATTTTTTTTTTTATTTTTCCTCAGGAAATTACTTCAAGCTTTCATATACTTTAATCCTATATACTCAAATATTATTTTATTAATATTTGTCCCATTTTTTGAAATTATTAAAAAAAAGTATTAAAATTAAAATTTTCTTTTACAATTAAAAGAAAATTAATTTTCATATTAATTAAATATATTTTCGAAAATAAATATTTCAAGTGATTAAATAGTAATTGAATTTTTTTTTTTTTTTGAAAACTGAAACAGTTTCAGTATGTGATTGCAGGAAATCTCGAAATTCGTGCAATATTCACAACTGTTTGGCAATATTACAGGAGGTGCTAATATCCGATGATTATCAGAATGCATAGGAGAAGTACTGAATAGTTTGATAGATAGTGCAGTATATACATATCAGTATATGCACGTGGCAAATGCTTAATGCTCATAACACTGTAATTTCTCGTATTCCATTATATATATATATGATGTGGCGCTGCATCGAAACATCATAGCAATTTACATGACATATCAAAAGTGAACATGAAATTTACATTTTAATTCTTCTAAATTTTTCAATAATTATACATCAATAATATTTAAATAATAACAAATTTTTGTTTCCCTACAATTTTCATGTAAAGAGTGAAAAATTATTCCTATATTTAAAAAAAAAAATGATTACACAAATATTGACTGAATCGATAAATCTATAAAAATTAATTAGTTAATAACAATTATCAAATTATAATTTCAAAAATTAATTTAAATTAATAAAATTAAAATGTGACGTACCTTGGCTGCATGTGAGATCCAAATAGTTGCTTCCTTACAATCTGTGTTCATATTTTTTTTTTTTTTTTAAATTTTCACTTTAAATTAAAAATTTATCTTGAATATTCAATCATTTTTTTTTCTTTTTTTTAATTATTATTTTTATTTAGGAAGATTTTTCACATTTTTATAACATTTTCGCGATATTTGATAAACGAATTAATTTTGAAAAATTCTTTTTTACAATCTAATTAACCAAAAAAATTTTTTTGACACGTCTATACTTGATTCTTTCAATTGTTTTGAGATCCCTGTAAATTATTTTTTAAAAAAACTACTTTTTTACATTTTTAATATTAAAAGGAAAAGGAAATATATACAATTTCTTTAGGCGATTTTTTCTTTTTATTAAAAAAGAAAGAAATTTTAAATACTCATTTTTAATATTCCACACTTGCTTGTTTTTTCTTTATTAAAAAACATACACATTATTATGTGAAACTCTATATTATATAATATATAGTTGAAAAATTTACAATTACGTACATTTATATTGTTTTTCATGTGTATACACTTATTCGATGAAATTACAATTTTTTTTTTTATATAAGAATATGAGGTCCTCATTTATTCACACTCTTGTATTATAATATTTCTCAAAAACACACTAAATAATGCGCACAATTATCAAATTAAGTCAGAAAAATGCTTTAAAAATGTACAAAATTTTTTTTTTTTTTCAATAAATTACAAAATACTTAACATTTTTACGATTTTTTTTTAATATATAACAAAAGTGAGCGTAAAAATTGAAAACTGAAAATTAAAATAGAAAAGTAAAAAAATTAATAATTTTAAAAACCGTAGGATATAATTATAAAAATGTTATATTGCTAAAAATTGACAACATAAAAAATACTTATAAATAAATTGAATTTCTACTTTTCATAACATTATTAATAGTAGTAATTATTAGTAGACATTTTTTGATTAAAAAAAAAAAAAACATTCACCTTTTTAACAATTTGAAAAAAAATGCTTCATAAATATTCTTCAATTATTTGTTTACTAATATTTACATGTAATTATTACATAATAATTAAAATTAAGAATCGAGGAGTTACACAATTCTTTTTTTTCAATTTAATTATTTGTTTGCAATTTTTCTTGTCACTTAATATTGCAATCAGTTTAAAAAAAAAAAAAAAAAATAATTAAATGTTTAAGAAAATTTTAATTATTTTGTTTTTTTATTTTGAAAATGAATTTCGATAACCGGCAATTTGTGTCTTGCAGTAAATTAGAGACTCTAAAAGTCTGCCTTTGATTTTCTCATTAAAGATGATGTAATTTAGTAGATACGGTAACAAAATTGACACGTCATTAATTTTTGCATTCTTAAGAAAAAATTCACATTGATGTTAATAATTACCAAAAATTGATTTTAATTAAGAGACATTTTATATTGCCAATATAGTAATTTAAAAAGTAATTTTTGTTTTGTACAATTAATATTCTTCCTTGGTTGAATTACCATACAGTTCTTGATATTTTACCGGAAATGCCAATTGAGTCCCTTTGTCCCATGTATATAATTCCTGTTTATTAATCAAAAAAAAGAAAAAGATAGAATTAGGAATGTTCAACAAACTTTTACTGTATATTGTTGAATTTTGTTTTTTTTTTTTTAATTATTGAATTTCATTATGTAATATTGTATATATTATACTCATAACTAAATGATATTATATAAATAAACTAATGAATTAAGTAATTAATTAAATTATTATTTCTTTAATTAACTTAATTATCTAGTTTATTTACTATTTTTTTTAATTCACATTTAATTACAAAAATTCAAGGGAGAAAGAAATCCTACAATAATTTCACAGCGAGAAAAGATATTCAAAGGTGGTGTGCGCGCAAGAAAATTTCATTTCTTAATTCATAACTTCCTCTACGATGAAAGTGAAACAAGTTCTGTGCCATTTTTTTTTTGTAATTATAACGAAGCTATTCGTGCTACCAAGAAAAAAATTTTTTTTTTTTAACTTAATTCCTGAAATCACATCTAAATGCAAATCCTCCCCAAGTTAAGAGTTTAATCAAAGCGATAATATGAGCCTCGGACAAAGTCTCCCGTGAATTTGAAATGAAGACTTCCGCTAATTTCCTTCTTTTATTTTTTTTTTTTCATTCTCTATTATTATTGCCCTTGAAAAAAATTATTACGTGATAATCAAATTAATTACTTTTGAATTTTATTATTATATAATGGAAAAAGCAATTTTTTTCGCCCTCCCTCCCTCCACCTTTTTTGGCACTAAACCAAATAGTTGAATGCCATTCAGCCATTCATCTCGATAATTCGAGTAGTGACCCACTCGAACGGATATAGAAAAAGAGAAAAGCATTCTATATGTATATATATAACATGCCGGAAATTGATTTAATTGATACGTGTATGCCGTTTCAAATTCATTCAAACGATCATAATCATTTAAATCAACATTGTTGAATTCATGCTAAAAATGTCAAAAGTCTAGGACTCGTTAACAAAATATTTTTTAAAAAAAAAAACAAAACTCAATAAATAACTGAACATTCAATCAATATTCCGATATTAATTGCAATACTTTATTGCTGCAAAAATATTTCAGCTCTATTTCGTAAAGTCAATTAAATGTTGTAATTAAAAAAAAAAATGAAAAAAATTGTTTGAAAATATTTTGAAACTTGAATCACAAAATTAAAAATTAAAATATAAATTATGATTGTGATAAAAAAAAAAGAATATATATAAATTAAAAATTTTACCTTCGTTCGGGAATTGTAACCAACCATTGTAGTCTTGTGATATGGATTGGTGAACGACAAACTGACATCGAGAGGCAATTTTTTATACAAATCTAACGCCAATCTAAAAATAATATTTTCATCCTTTAATTTAATTTGATAATTTGAGAAATTTTCATGAATAAAAAAATTATTTTCATTTATAATAAATAATCTAATAAAATATATATATATTTCTATTTTTGGCGCGAGGTTCTTTCAAAAAGACATATTAATTTTCTTTTGATTATCAACTTCACTAATTAGCTGAAATTAACTCTTGAACACGTCAAGAACTTTATTTTAACGAAGTACCAGTGGAACTTCCTTATTTAAAAGTTTTCAACGCCACAACAAAGCAATTTAATCACTTTAGTAAAATTAAGACCATAAACGGAAAATAACAAAAGAAATTTCATTAAATATTATATCAATAAAAAAAAATTTAAGAAAACATTTCTTTTTTTTATGACATATATTTTTCTATATTTATTAAATTTAAAAATAAAAAAACATTGCGAATGTGATTTTATTTTTTTTTCAAATGAAATTCTGTGTATTTGTTTATATTACATTGTGTAGAAGTAAAATGTAAATATTGTACATATTGGAGAGTATAATTGAAAAACAAGCGTACCGAATTTTCATGATTTCATCAGTTACACTGTGTACTCCATAAAGAACACCGCGAGCAATGAACATTTCTCCAAATTTATGATGATCAACAGTGACATTCCAAATCTGTTGAAGCCTCATTGCAACAGGATCAACCTTTACAACAATTGTTGTATTTGTAAGTGAACCATAAATGGCCCATAAACCTGTAAATAAAATGTTTTCTAATTTTACAAATAATGATGAAAAAAAATCTAAAAAAAATTTATTTTTTTTTTTTATTTTAAATTAGTTAACTATTTAATAAATTTTTATTATTATTTAACTAAATAATTAAATTGAATAGTTTCATATTTTATTTTAATTATAGATTGATTTTTTTTATCAAAAATTTGAAAATTGTAGAAATTGCAAATTATTTTCTTTTGTGAATTTTAAATTAAAAAAAAAAATAATATATATTCTTGCCATTTTCATCAACATCAAAATCGACATAATTGTGATTGTGATCTGGAGTGTAAAGATAATTCTTAGTGTTGACAACCAAACCAGGTAGAAACACTTCATTGTCTCTCATCATTGGTCCAGAGTGAGATAAATGAGGGGGGATATCAAATCTTATAATTGACGCACGATCGACAGGATTAAAGAAAAATGAACCATTGTAGACCACGTGACCATTGCCCTATAAATACAAAAAAAAAAAGAAACGAATCAATATCACACAATATAATACAAAAAATACCTAAATAACATTAATGATAATTAATTAATTATAAAGTTTATCATAAATGAATTATGATAAACTGATCAATTTAAATTTTAATTATTAAAATGCATTCAGAAAAACGTTTTTTTAAATTCGTAAATATCGTGATCCTAATTCGCGAATTTCGCGACCTAGTTTTGCAAAATCCGTGATCCAAATTCACGAATTCCGTAATTTTTTAGTCAGACATTTATTTTTAAAAAAATTATTTTATATAATTCTCAGTTTAAAAAAAGATCGTTTCGGCCAGACAAAACGTTTAAAAATCTTATAAATTATATATAACAATTTCTGTTAAATAAAATGTTTTCGATTATTTTATAAAACTTATATATATATATTTATATTTTTTTTTATTCTACTTTCTCATCCAGTGTGTATTTTGAACTTTGCATTTTAATGTTCCACTTTATTTTGCACTCTCTATATATCGTGTGAGTTTTATACTCTTTTTCTTCAATATCAGCAGAAGTGTATTGACAATTTTTGTATAAAATGTATATGTAGGAAAATAACATCGAGAAATTTTTCAAAGTTTGCATAGTTTGCAGATTGTTATTATCAAGCGATTGTTTTATATACATGGAACAATTTTTATTTTTATTTATGATATAACTAACTGTTGCACATGTTATAATATATGCAAAAATACAATATTGAAGAATTTTCTACTGAAATTACTTTTCTTTGTTTTACTTTAAATATCGATTTTTCGAAAAGATGTTAATCTATCTATAACACGTAAATGTCACACAATTTTTACCCTTAGGAATATTTACATCTTTTTACGATTCTCAAATAATTGATATTTTTTCTTGGAAACAAAAATAGAACAAAATTTACAATATATATATATTTTTTAATATTGTTTCAATTTTTTTTTTAACTTTCATTTGATATTAAATTTTAATTAATTAATTGAATCTTCAAATATTATATTTTATGTGAAAATTGTAAATGACAATAGTTAAAAGAATTAATATTTACCATATATAGTAGATTTTCAAATGTTAAATTTTCATTTCTAAAGTTAATTTTATTCAAAATGGAAATATTATTGTTAAAATGGATTAAAAAAATTAATTACAGTTATGTAATGTGTAATTAATTAAAATTTTCATATTTTAGTTAATTTTAATTTTTACACTGTTAAAGAAAGTAATAATTAAATATCAATATTTAAATTCAAGAGCATATATTTTGGGAAAATGTTTTTAATTACTTTTTTGTTTATAATAAGAGAGCGAAAAAAGGGGTTGAAAAGTATAAGAGAACATGAGACCCGTATATAGAAGCATGCTCATGAATGTTTATGTATTACTTATCTGTTTGTTTGCGTGAATTTTCACGATTACTCGGTTGTGCACTTGGTATTATTTTTTTATTTTATTTTGGAATTTTTTTTTTCACTGTTTTTTGTTCTCTCTCTCTCTCTCTTTCTCTTCTTTTGTTCTTTTATTTTTTTCGTTTTCATTTTTCAACAACCGCATCGTACCGTAGAATATTTTCTGCTTGTTGATTATTATCGAGTGGAAAATAAACGTAAAGAAATAACCATATGCACAGTCCTCTCGCGTATGCTTTCGTATTTTTTTCAGATGAGCACCTTTCCACATGATTATATGGATAGAATTATGAATAATCTTTGCAAATTTAATAATTTTCATTTTCAATATATTTCTATATATAGAAAATATAGGAAATAAAAAAAAAAAGAAACAAATTTTATCTATTATTTCATGAAATATACATTCTGTGTTTACTTTATCAACTCGAGCCTCAATTTCCCTTTCATTCTTTAGTTTACTTTTCATCAAGCTCGAATTGATTATAGAATCAATATTTCTAGGTGAAAAATTTATATTCTGAAAACGCTTCATTTATGTTGAATTTCATTTTTATATTTAATCATTTTCACGAACGTGATTTTGATTAAATTACTATATATTTATTTAAATAAAGAGAAAAATGAGTTTTTTTTCAGCTGTACTGATGATAAAATAATTATTTTATACGAATATAATAAATTTTATTTTTATATTATAATTTCTCTAAATTAAAATTTTAAATAGAAATTGTAAAAATTTTACTTAAAGAAATTTTTGCAATAATATTATTTATCGTCAAGGGAATTTGAAATTTAGGGGAAAAAAAAAAAATTCATATTGCTCACAAACTTACTTGAAAGGGACGTGAAAGTCTGATTTCTTTGGCTCTTTTCATTAAACTCGAGAAGTCATCTCTGCTGTTATATTCGTAGAGAATCGAACGAAATTTGCTGCGAGTCACCCATAATTTATCTGCAATTGCTTCAGATCTAGGAAGCGTATCATACATCCATGCTCCATAAATATCGTCCATTTCACCTTTAAACACTGGTTTTCCAACTGCATCCAAGACACCCTCTATATATTAAAAATTAAATCATAATTATAATTATTATAAATTAATCAAACAAATTTTAATCTATCAAATATAATTACATTGTTTAGTTAAAAATTAATTATTTATAAATTTTTAAATATAAATTAATAAATTTATATTCACGGTTTTTTAAATCCTGATTATGATGTAAAAATTGACAATTAAAAAACTATATATATGTTGGAAAAAAAAATTCTATTGTCATACCAGCTAATCGAGGTGGAAAAGCGATCAATTGCACTTTAAAAGTTATATTATTGAAAGGTTGAACAATGTCTTTGAAAGAGCATTTTACATTGGGACACGAATCGCAATTGATTTGCGGTGCACAATGAGTATCCAGATCAATTCTTGGTGGAGGAGGCTTGCCAAAGAATGCCTGCTGTTGTTGAGTATTTCTTAAATCATCCATATTCTGTGTAAGGCCTAAAAATATCATTTGTCAGTGGGGAAAAATTAATTTTTATTTAATAAATTTAATTATAATTAATAATAAATATAAATTAATTTTAATTTTATTTAAAATACAAAAAAAATTAAAGAAACAACGAACCTGTGATTGTGAGGGTTCCTTTTGTGGTATCAATAATGTTTTTTGCAACACAATGATAATTTCCATGATCCTTGGATACGACTTTCATGATTTGTAGCTTCATTATAAACTGAAAATGAATTTAATATAAATTGTAATATTATACAGATGAACCACATTAATTCGAGAGCGTTTTAAATGATACAGGGAAAATTGTCAGTACGTAAAATGATTAGTGTGTATAGTGAATGTTTTAGTAATTAAATTGTAAGAGCCTGTGACATCTGATAATGGGATTAAATAACAATTTCTGCGCATTAATTTGATCATTCGATTTTATCTGTTTCAGTATCAAATTAGCTTTACAAAATATTTACGAAACTAATTATCACCACCATATATATATATATAGAATACAAAAATACCTTTATATTCCATTTATAAACTTGAAAATTATTTTTAATTAATGAAAAACTATCAATTTTCTTTTTGTTTTTAGTACAAATAAAATACCTTGTAACCATTTCGTCTGGTATTGACCTCCGAACGATATTTTTCCATCAAATCGAGCCGTCGACCATCATCTCCCATCCAATATGTTTCTGGTTCCGGAAATGCTTCAACTTCGCACTCGAGAACAGCGATAGCTTGATTTCGAACTCGAATTGTCTGAGAATGAACTCGAATGTAAGGAGCGACTAAAAAAAAAAACAAAATTAAATTATTTTTTTTTTTAATCACAAATTCTAATTAATTTATATAATTAAATGTTATTTTAAAAATTTCATAAAGATTTTTTGTTTTTATATTTACTAATATTGTTTTGCAATTTATTTTTTCATGAGTGTGAATTTAAATAAAATTAATTATATTTAAACGACTGGTCGATGAAATTAACTAGGAATTAACTAATTGAAAATGAGTTTCCGAGCAAACAATCGTATGTCTGCGTGATTCACATTGGGTTGCATTACAATGAATAAATTAACGTACTTGTTGGAACGTAGAAAACCAGTCAACAATGCATTTCATGTATTACACTTGAAAATTCTATTTAACACAACTGTTTTTCAACATTTAATAAAAAAAAAAAAAAGAAGTTTTAAAAATATTCTCCATAAAGAAAAATATTTATTAAATTATTTTTATATTATAAAACAATTTATTATTTAAAATATTTAAATAACGACGTTCATACACGAGAGTGCATTCAAAAAGAAAGATTCAATGAAGCAAAAGTGAAAAAAAGAAACTGAAACATATTCAACTTTTCTCCCTTTGACTTTTTTTTTTTTTTAAAGAGTATTCCAAGAAGAAGATTTTTCCACTAATAGACGATTTTCATTCAAATAGCTTTTAGGTATAGAAATCAAAAAATATATATATATGTGTGTGTGTGTATTCGTATTATAGATGAAAAATTCAATTTTGTTGCTGTAAGACAGAAATATCTTATATTATATATTATCCTCGACTTTCAACACAAGATTCGCGTAACATAATGTGAACCTTATTCTTCGCCTGCGGAAAAAAGATCGATCGTTCGATTCAAGCAAGTAGTATAGGTAGCGTTTTTTAAATTAGTCGAAGCTCTCTTTTTATGGTGCTTCTATAACAAGGGCTTATCTGATAAGCACTCTACAAGAGACTCGCATCTCTCGTGAAGAAACTCGTATTCTCGTTGAGGGTTTTTGAAGAGGGATTTATAACTGGTATACAATATAAATATGTACTCTTCGATGTATTAATTTAAAATGATATATAAAAGAGGAGCAACAAAAAACTAAAATTTATGTTTTACAAATTTCACAATTTTTTTTTCCATTTTCCACTTTTTTAATTGAACCAATGGATTTTGAGCTAGATTAAAATAAAAAATTTTGATTTTGGAAAAATTTCGATTTTTTAAAAAAATTTTTTTTTATTTTTTCCTTTATTTATACCATCAAAGTCTTAATTTGGGAAGTTAGAACAAAAAAAATTTATAACGACTTTTTGAATGGACCAACGAATTTTGAGTTAAGACTATAATGAATTTTTGATTTTTGTACAAAAATTTTCAATTTTAATTCTAATTGTGGGCATACGATAAAATTCAATTGTGAGTTTACTAGGAATTTGAGAAGAAATTCTGTTGAATTATTTTGGGTTAGTCCATTGACTTTCGTCTAATAGTGGTTGCGACCAAATTTTTAAAAAATCTAGTTTTAATATATGTGAAACTCAATGATTCCCTGAGTTCATTAACTATAATATTATGGTAAAAATTTTATTCCCTTTGAAAATATTAAATATCAAAAGTAGGAGGTTCACAATGTGATTTTGTAACCTTAAATTTTTCAATTTTTTTAAAAACGTTATTATTAAAAAACTATTAAAAATTAGATGTTGGAACTCACCAAAAACATAAATCACTTTATTCTGCACAGAGGAACGATAGAATTATTGCAAAAATTTATTATTTTTGAATGATATACGATTTAAAAAAAAATTTTATTTAAATATTCTCAAGATTTTTATTTACTTATAACTTTTTTGTCGGTGCTCCGAAAAAATTGAGGTTTTGCACAAAGATTTTTTATAATATTCTTTACCGTCCTTTAAAATCTCACGAAGATGTTTTGCTTCATTTTGGAGATAATAATTTTAAAAAAAATTTTATGTAAAAGGTTAATTAAAAGACTTGAAGTTAACTAACCAAATTCAAACTGTTCCATTTTTTATAAAAATATATTAAAATGTAGCGATTTGAAATTGGTCAGTTAACTTCAAGTCTTTTAATTAACCTTTTTAAATAAAAAATTTTGAAAATTAATATCTCCAAAACGAAGCAAAACATCTTCGTGAGATTTTAAACGACGGTAAAGAATATTATAAAAAATCTTTGTGCAAAACCTCAATTTTTTCGAAGCACCGACAAAAAAGTTATAAGTAAATAAAAATCTTGAGAATATTTAAATAAAATTTTTTTTTAAATCGTATATCATCCAAAAATAATAAATTTTTGCAATAATTCTTTCGTTCCTCTGTGCAGAATAAAGTGATTTATGTTTTTGATGAGTTCCAACATCTAATTTTTAATAGTTTTTTATTAGTAGCGTTTTTAAAAAAATTGAAAAATTTAAAGTTACAAAATCACATTGTGAACCTTCTACTTTTGATATTTAATATTTTTAAAGGGAATAAAATTTTTACCATAATATTACGGTTAATGAACTCAGGGAATCATCGAGTTTCGAAAAGAAATTTTTCGATTTTGGAAATATGAATTAAAACTAGATTTTTTTAAAATTTAGTCGCAACCACTATTAGACGAAAGTCAGTGGACTGACCCTTTTACTAAATTTCTGTATATAAAAAAGAAATTTTTCGATTTGGAAATATGAATTTTTGATTTTGAAAAAAAAAACTGATTTGAAAGGTATTTTTTATACAAAAAAATTTATAAATATATTTTTTTTGAAATGTCTTTTGAAATTTATCCTATTATTATTTTTCGATTGCAAGTATCGCTGGCACGCGAGAACTGTATATATATATAAAACGAATGAAAACAAGAACTCTGCGATAATACACCTCATCGCGGCAATGTAAATTGTGAAAACCCACACTGTCTGTCGCCGCCGATAACAGGGGCTATTGTGGTGACAGCTAACGAATCATTGCTCGCGTAATATACATGTGACAGGCTTAGAGTATGTGAAACAATGACGCATCGTTTTCCCAATGAAGGTTCTAAACTCGGAAAAACTCGCCAACTTGTTGGCAAATGGAGTTACGATATATTGTGTATATGTGTGTATTTGTTGGTGTCGTAGTCGTTAATTTTGTTTCAAAGTTCTCTCCTCGATGGTCGTTGAAACACAGTTGTTCTGCAATCAGATGAATATATATATATATTATATTTCTATAACACTATTTGAACAAAGGATTCTTACTCAAAGGACTAAAATAAAGGAATCATATTGTTTGTTACGGATTTTATCAATTTTATCTGCCTTCATTTGGCAAAAGCTTTTAAAATTTGCTTTTAAAATTTACTTTTAAAATTTACTTTTGAAATTTATTTTTAAAATTTACTTTCAAAAATTTAACGCTCAAAAACTATTTTCAGTACATAAATTTTATGCGGTGTATGTCGGTCTAAGTAGTACGGGTCAACGATATGTCTTCCTCGCATGACAATATACACGGTTCTTCCTTCACTTTTGCTCTACTATATATATATTATATAATATTATATTACACTCAAAAAGAAGTTTCTATCATTTCAAAAAAAAAAATTCCTTTTCTTTGCTTACCTACTCTCTAAATCTGAATTAGTAAAAATTTTTAATTAGTAACTCACTTTTTGCTTTTGAATTAGTTAAATTTTACTAATTCGTTAATAAAAAAAAATTTTTTTTTTTACTATTAGGTAAATTTTACTAATTTAAAAGCAAAAATCTACACAAATTCTATTTTAAATCGCAAAGTTCCTTAAATTATATGTAATAAAAATAATTTTTTTTTTTAAATAAATTAATATATTTAAAAAAAATAAAAAACAATTTTTTAAAATTGGGATTCTCAATTACTGATAGTTTGAAACAATAATACTATTTTCATTTTATTATAAAGAAATATAAATATTACACTAAAAAAAAAATAATTTACTTGATTCAAATAATCGGTTTACTTGACTATTATCAAATAAATATTTACTTGAACCAAATAATTTTTATTTGAATTAATTAAACTGTATTTGAACGAATAATTTCTGTATTTATAAATCAAATATCATTTATTTGACTTAAATATAATAATTATTTGATAATAATCAAGTAACCGATTATTATTTGAATCAAATAAATTTTGTTATCAGTGTATAAAATTCATATGTATTTCATCTCACACAAAAACGCTCATAAACTTTCCAGTAATACAGTTGAAAATGAAAATTCAAAATTCTAAACTACCTCCACATTGGAAATGCAACAATAAAAAACAAAAAGAGGAAAAGAAAAAAAAAATTGAAAAGTGAATGAATAAAATATATCTATTGATATTTGGTTTTTATGTTTCAAAAGAGGCTTACTGTTTGGAAAGCTTTAAAAGGTTTTTATTATTATAGGTATATAGTATTGCATTTACAATGCTATACTAAAAATGAAAAAGAGCCTTCTTGTGAAAGCTCGTCGTGCTCAAATCTATGTATAGTTATGTACAAAATTTCATGAAAAAAGGATTAAAACGTCACTGGAAATAATATACGTATATGTATAAATGCAGAAGGATATATGATGAGAATTCATTGTCTTCCCCTATAATATTTCTTCACTTTATTTAAATTAATAATTATTTCTTCAAAAATATTGTTAACATTTCTTCATTAGGTTTTTTTTTTTAATAATTTATTATTTCTAAATTTTGTGAGAATTTTTTTTTTGTAAAATATTTTTTCAAAATTTAGTTTAATAGATTTTATAAATATTGAAATTTAATATTTAAACTCATGATTTAATATTTTTCAAAAAATTATTTTTTTTTTCCTATTTCAACTTTGATTCGATATTTCATTAATTTTATTTATAATAAATTTATTATTTATAATATTTTATTTCAATAGCAAATTCTTAAATAAATAAACATTTTATATTACAATGTAATATTTCTTCTAATATTTAAAATAGATTTTTTTTAATAAGTCTCACATTTATTTTAAAAAAATTTTTTTTAAATTTTTAAAAAATCAATTCAAAAAAATTTCACGAAAATAAAATTTTTTTTTATGAATTGCGCCAATTCAGCAACGTGATTTGCGCGAAATTTATAATTTATTGATAAATATTATAATATTTAAAAAATTTGAAAAATTAATTTTTTAAAAAAAATTTGTTTAATTTAACAAAATACTTTTTCAATTTTAAACAAAATTTGATTTTTTTTTTTGAAAAAGTTGTTTTAAAAGTTTTATTTGAAAATTTTGATTTAAAATAAAATAATTTTCTCTAATATAATACTGTACTTACATTGGACTTGGAGTTTGATAGTTTGGTTCGCATTCGGCGGTATACCATTGGTCGCAGTACAAATGTAATCCCCTGTATGTTCTCGGCTGACTGCTGTTATGGTAAAGGGATTTCCAACCACCATTGTGTCTATGAAAACGTTACAAACAAAAGACGAATATTAATTTCTCACCTCTTGTCAAAAATACAAAAAGAAGTTATTATTTAATAAATTTATTTTATCTTATCTATAGAAAAAAAAAATAATAATTATAAAAATCTGCTTGATAAAAATTAAAAATTCTACTATGAAAATTTGAAATTGGAAAGGTCATTCCATTTTATTTCACCTACACTCTATATATATAGGTGAAATAAAATGGAATGACCAGGAAATTTTTAGTTAAATGAAAAAATACAGTTGTATGAAAATTTGAAAATAGATATATAAAAATTTGGATTAATTTATAAATTTGATTGAAATTAAAGGGAACTGTATTATAAGCTCTTGAATTCTCACGAACAATTAGCAGTAGTGAGTCACGTGAAGAGGCTCATGGACTGTTAGACAGAACAAGGATCAGTCATCATGCACAGTAGTTACGTTCCTATTAGCTTATTCAACGCGCCCCGTTTAACTCTACACGTTGGTTAACATCATTTGCGGTATTGAGTTTAGTTTCATGGAAAATAATATATGTGAACATTCAAATTTTCACATTAAACACACTAAATACCTCAAAATTCATCAAGATTCCCTGTTAAAAAAAATTTCAAGGAAAAATTCGATTTTTTTTTTTTTTTTTTTATAGAAAAAGGGACTTTAAATTTTACTATATGTCTGATCAAACATTGATTTCACAGAAAATTAAAAGGTATTAAAATAAGCTGCAACGCTTATTATTTTAATCCAATTTTGCTTATTTTAATACCAAAATGGATTAAAATAAGCAAAATTTGATTAAAATAATAGCAGCTTATTTTAATGCCTTTTAATTTTCTATGTTTTCTACTTCAGGTGAAATATTTATTTTTTAGGCCCAATTATTATTGATTAGCCAATTTCGAATGTAAAAACAATTGTTAATTGTTAAATTAAAAAAAAATGTAATTTAAAAATCAATATTAATTAATTAGTATTAATTAATTTTATATTTTATATATTAACTATGATTTTGAAAATTATTAATAAAAATTTACATTAAATGTATAAATTTTAAATTATAAATTAAATTTTAATTAATTTAAAAATTTTAAATAAATAAATAAAACTTACATTTGTAGATTCCTTTTAAAATTAGTCCATTTGACATGTGCCATGTAATGTTTGGTATTGGAAATCCAACTGCCCCACACTCTAAACGAACATTTTCTCCTTCGTTCACTGTGTAGTAAGTTTTCAGTCCAAATACTGAAAAAAAAAAAAAATTGTGATGAATGTTCTCGTGTCACTTAAACGTTCATTTTCTCTCTGTTTTATTTAAAATGAAAAATCAATGTCTTCGAAAGAACAAATTTTTCTACAAATTTGCAATTTTTAGGAAAATTGTTCTTGTATTTAAATTACATTATAATTTAATCATTTCAATACAATAAATATTAATAAAAAAAAAAATTATTTTCTAAATTACAAATAAATTTTAAATTAAATTATAAATGATAATAATTAATAAATTATAATTATATAATTAGGGTAACATTAAATTTTAATTATGCAAAATTTCATGAAAATGATATTCATAAAAGTAATTGGAACATGAATGACAAAGTATAATTAAGCATTTAAGTACAAACATCTGACTATAATTAAGGAAAATTTCGAGTAAAAGGTAACAAAAGGGTTTTTTTTAAAAAAAAACAGAAAAAAAAGTTAATGGTAAATTGTTGTAAAAATTTGAAAAGGTGTGAAACTAAATTGTATAACATGTATAAACTTTTTATATATATGTATATATAAAATGTTTCTTTTGTTAGAGAGGGAAATCTTGTTTTTGCATTTCAACTCGAGAATTGACTCTATTTAGTTACGAACAATTTACTTTCCACCTGACTATAAAACTAGCATTACACTCGTTATTTGTAACAAACTCAAGAGGAAGTTTAAAATACACAGAAATTTCATTTAACTTCACTGGCGCAAACAAGTTACATTAAAGTTAAAAACTTGTTTCAAAGTTTTTTTTTTTTTTGGACCTCCTGGTAATTAATCAAGTTATTAATGAAAATCATAATCGTTATTTTCAAATATTTAACTAAAAATCTAAATAAAAATATTTTAAAAAAAGTAACTGGTAATTAGAAAATAATTTAATTTAAATAATTATTACTCTATTATAAAAAAAATAATTAAAATAAATTTTACAGTATAATAATAAATAAATAAAAAAATAGAAATTAATAAATAACTATATAATAATATATATATATAATTTTTTATTATTAATTCTGGCTTAAAATCTAAGAATTTAATCAAATACTGAAAATCATTTGTCTCCGGAGACTGTCAGAGAATAAAAAATATAATGGAATGGACTTGATTAATGGCACACTCAGATTAAAAAGGAAGTAGTAATTTTTTTAAAAAAGTGAATGAAGACTGCTCCAATATAATCTCTAAAGACTCGAGCAACAAATATAATAACGATCCAATAACAATAAAAAGAAAAAAAAAAAAAAAAAGTGATTGGAAATAATTTATCGGTCTTTTATAATATATACAAAAGCAAAATGATTCAGCAAACGAAATATAATTTATCTTCATATTTGTTTTAACATTTATCTGATAAAATTTAATTTTCTTTTTAATTAACTCGAAAATTTAATTGTTTTTTTTTCATCGGCTCCTTTTCAATAAAGCCTCATTATAATAGGCGGATCCTTTTAATTATTATATAGAAAGTCTGCCAATAATTTTTCTGTCACTTAAATTTAAGGGGATAAAATTCATTGAGGTTTTTTTTTCTGAATAAAATATCACTTTTTTTCACCTGCAATTATGACATTTTTTTTTTTCTCTAGAAAGACATAATTACTGAGTAAAATGATGATATATATATAGGTAACGGTCCAGATTTAGCCCCAAGATATAAAAAGCAAAGTGAAAATGATACTTAAGTAGTAACAACCTTTGCTGGTGAGACTTTTCTTAAAGGCGAACTGCAAAAATGTATATTACCCTACAGAGATGTATTTTTATATTTAACAATTTTTCATTTTTTTTAAAGTTATGTATTTTCTGTAAATAAATTTTTTTATAAAGATTTTTTTTTAAATAAAAAAATTAAAAAAAAAACATTTTTTTTTTATAGAAAATTTTTTATTTAAATTTTTTTTTGGAAAAATAAAAAATGTTAATTTAACATTTTATCAACTTAAAAGTTTTTATGTAAACTTTTTAGGAAAATAAAAAAAAAAGTTTAATTTAATGTAAACCTGTTAATATCGACTAAATTAAAAAGTTAAATTTTTTTTTTGAATTTAAAAAATAATTTCTACTCTAATATCTTAATATAGAAATTAATTTTATTTTTTAATAACTCACTGGGAATAGAAGGCGCGATAAGACGCTCATTAACTCGGGTGCCATTACTCAGTTGACGATCGTAGACAACAATTCCAGGCTCTCCTGATTTCCCATCATGCCCTGGAGGTCCTTGTAAACCTTTTGGTCCAGTTGGTCCTGAAATAACGAGCAATTTTTTTTTTTTTTCATTAAATATTTATTTCTTTTAAATTATTATAATGTAAATTTATGAGGTTACAAATTTATTAAATAATTTACAAAATAAAGAGGCAATTTTTTTTTCAAATTAAGAAATTTTGTTTTTTAATTTGCCAAAATTGAGAATTTTTCAATTATTATTTTTATTGAAAAGAAAGAATTAAAATTAAATTAATAATTTAATAATAAAAATTATACAATATATTTATATATATATATTCAAAATATTCTATAAAAAGTTTTATGTTTTTTAAAATTAAGCTTTTTTAATAACAATTTCAAAAATAAAAGTAAATTTTGTAATATTTATGCGAAATTATATTTAAAAAATACGTCAATGAATGCCCTAGCTATATCCAAGTTTTAAATATATATATATATATACATATATTATGTGCCTTTGCAGATTTCAAGAAAAATCGATGAAGATAAACAAGAAAAGGGGTTTTTTCAAGGGTTCTTATCAGACTCAGATGGAAATTGTGACATGTTGAAAAGTTTGGATTTCCGAAGGCTATATATTATATATATATATATATGTGTCCTGACGCGGTGAAAGGGACCTTATGGTATAATAGCAAATTGTACTTTTGAATGTTCATAATAAAAAACGAATTGAACAAAATAATTTTTAGTTTTTGGAAATGAAAGAGCAACTCAAATAATTTGATTTCCAAAAATTAGAAATTATTTTGTTCAATTCATTTTTTATTATGAACATTTAAAGTACAATTTGCAATTAAACCATAAGGTCCCTTTCACCGCGTCAGGACACATATATATATTTGTGACTTTTCAATTGAAATTCAGATTTGCAAAATTCCTTTATTTTCCCCGCGCTTATTTACATTTGTATATTCAATATTAAAAAATAATTTTCCAATGTAATTTTTTTTTTTTATAATAGTCCATTAAAAAAAGAAACACTGACCAGAATTTAAAAAATATATATATATATAATATGGAAATAAAACGATTTAGGTTAATGAAACGACGCGAGCTCTTAAAAAAGTTGTGGATTTTAGAGAAAAGCGAGGCTAACCAGCTTTAAATTTTAAATGAGGTCAAGCAAAGGACTGTCTTGGAAAACTCCCTCGGGGAAAATATGATTTTACCTGAATTTCTTTTTCCCGATTTCAAAAAAAAAAATTTCGGGTAAACTTCCCATTGTTATATAATTATCATTTTTTTTAAATTTTAATTGCGAATTCCCTTTTTTTAATTACATAAAAAAAGAATTATTATTCTAAATTTTAATTAAAATTATATTTTAATAATATTGTTATTTCCATAATAAATAAAATATATTCAATTATTTAATTAATTGGAATTTAATTAATTAGCAAATTTAATAATGGCTTAGCATATAGAATATACATATTAAAATATGTCTAACAGGTATTATAAATTATAACAAAATTAACTCTCTAACGAATACTAAAATTTATGCTGAAAATTCCATGGAAATATCTAACATTTCAAGTAAATTGTTTCCTCAATTTCTCTCAACCTATTTAAATTTTCATCAGGGAAATTATGACAAAAATTTTTTTTTATAAAAATATTAAATTTTCGAAATAAAAAAAATCAAAGAAAATATTATATTATTCTAAATTTAAGCCTCTATAGGAATATAATATAATTTATATTAAAAATATTATTAATTTTTTTTTAATTTTTAAATAAAATTTTGAAAAGAAATTAATTTAAAAATTAAATTCCTCTGGATTATAAAAGCTATCAACGTGAAAACAAACTAAAAGCCATACTGTTTATGATTAAACTTGATTATTCTTGGCAGATTACACAACGTTATGTGAACCAAGCTTATAGTAGTATACTTCTGATGTGTAATAATTGTAGAAGCAAAATATCCTAAACTTACAACCGAGAATTTAGAGAAGTCTGATGCGCGCGTATATATGGTGCCTTGTTGCAGGTCTTCGTTATTATATTATGAAGTTTAATTATCTCGGCACTGTTGCGAGTGGAACATCGCAGTTTCCGCTTCCGGAATCACGTATGTGTATACAATTCACGATTCACTGAGAAAACTTATACAAACGCGTGACTTTATTACACACGAGAAAAAGAAAAAAAAAAAAAAAAAAAGAAAGACAAAACTTGCGTCAAAATAAACATGATTATTTGACACGTTTCGAAATATAAATTTAAATATATTCTACTAATTAACGTTAAAAGTGATAGATATATTTTTAATTAAATTATCGTATAAATGAAATTAAATTAAATTGTGAAGCAATTTAAATTGAATGGAAATTAAATTAAATTACTTTCTTTAATCACCACACAATTCAATAACATATGTAATTAATAACTTTTTAATATAATCTATTATTATATTTATATAATATTTATAATATAATATAATTATTTTATTATATTGTATTATATTATTTTTTTGTGTTTAAAATTTTTTTTCTAACTCTGTGAAGAATCGAACCCCTGATCTTACGTTCTCTAAACTATTTCAATCACCTTAACGATTGCGGCTATCACCTATAAAATCATTTTTAATTTGTTAATTTCCATTTTTTTAAACATATTTTTCTTTTTATATTAATTTCTAAAAATAAAAATTATTTATCTTATTCTAAAAATAAGTTTTAAAATATTCTTTTCAAATATAAAAATAGAAAAAAAAAAATTTTTTTTTATGATACAAAATTGTTATAAATGCATTACGCATATTATATGGAATTAAAATAATAATACATTTAAAATGTTAACAGTTATATCGCTCTCACGTTATACATTTTAATGATGAGAAATAACAGAATATAAAATATATAAAATTTTACGATTTCTGATTCACGATATATGCGGATAAATTTTAATACGAATAATCCTCTCTTTGCTAGTGTTATATATACCCATTAAACATATATAACAGCCAATTTCAAATGGCTCAACAATTACAAATATATTTCATAAAAATTTTTTCTTTTTATGTTCGCGAAAAAAAATGATTTCACATTCAATTTTTAAATTCTTATTTAAAAGTGAGAATAATTAAGAATTTTTCCTCATTGTTGTAAATATTAATTTAAAGCTGTTTTTATTAAATATATGAAAAAAAAATAATTTTAAAATTTAATTATACTTAAAAATTAATTTATCTTTGATTAAAATAATGAATTAGCAATTAAAATGTACAATGTGCTTTAAAATACTTAAATAAAGTGAAAGTTGATAAAGAGAAAAAAGAAAAGTAATTAACGATTATTTTCTCTTAAAATAAAGGACAATATAAATTTTTAGTTATTGCCCGATTTAAAGGGCTTATAAATGCATTGAGCACTCGCGGTTAATAATTTCCCTTTATCTTCTGTCCTTGATATTAGTTGATCCTATTGCATTCTGTAACTGCCACAGCAATACGAGAGCTACGGAATTTCACAGGAATCTCATTTCGAACCTCAATTATAGCCCACCATTCGCAGAATTCTCAATACACGAACGAAACGACGTACCTGTTCAATTAAGGATCAAAACGAGAAAGTTCTGATCCACGTGTCCTCAAAACTATTATACAACTGCATTTAATTTTCACCTATACAATAAATATAATCTAAGAATTTCATAAATATATTATTTCTCAAATACTTTTAATCTAAATTAGTCAGACACAATTTAAAGCACAATTTTTCATAAATAATATTTTACTAAAAATATAATTAATAATTTCACTGAAAAAAAAAAATCAAATTCAAATAATCAGTTACTTAACTAGAAGGAAAATAAATATTTCCTTGAATTAAATAAATTTTATTTAAATCAATAAAAAAAAATTGTTTCAAATATAGAAATTATTAATTTAAATTGCACTTCTTTGACTTGAATAAAAAATTATTCGATACAAATAAAAATTGTTTGATACAAATAATTACATAGATGATTAAAAAATTAACAAGATGGTAACCAAATTTTAAAAAATAAGAATATAACAAATTACCGACCAAGAAATCTACTTTACCGACTGATGGTAAAAGTTTTTCGAAAAATGAAAATATAAAAATTACCGACACAGAAATCTACCTTACCGACTGATGGTAAACAGTTTTTTGAAAAATGAAAATATAAAAATTACCGACCTGGAAATCTACCTTACCGACTAATGGTAAAAAATATAAAAAATAAAAATATACTAAAATTATCGACACAGAAATCTAACTTACCGACTGACGGTAAAAAGGTTTTTCGAAAAATGAAAATATAAAAATTACCGATACAGAAATCTACCTAACCGACTGATGGTAAAACAGTTTTTAGATAAAATATACAGATTACCGATATAGAAATCTACCATACCAACTGATGGTAAAAATTTTGGAAAATAAAAATACTAAAATTATCGACACAGAAATCTACCTTACCGACTGATGGTAAACAGTTTTTCGGAGAATGGAAATATAAAAATTACCGACCTGGAAATCTACCTTATGACTGATGGTAAAAATTTTGGAAAATAAAAATACAAAAATTACCGATACAGAAATCTACCTAACCGACTGATGGTAAAACAGTTTTTAGATAAAATATACAGATTACCGATATAGAAATCTACCTTACCAACTGATGGTAAAAATTTTGGAAAATAAAAATACTAAAATTATCGACACAGAAATCTACCTTACCGACTGATGGTAAACAGTTTTTCGGAGAATGGAAATATAAAAATTACCGACCTGGAAATCTACCTTATGACTGATGGTAAAAATTTTGGAAAATAAAAATACAAAAATTACCGACACAGAAATCTACCTTATCGACTGATGGTAAAATAGTTTTTCGAAAAATGGAAATATAAAAATTACCTTTATGAAAATCTACCTTACCGACTGATTGTAAAATTTTTGAAGAATGGAAATATAGAAAATTACTATTAGTCTGTTAGGTAGATTTCTATGGCGGTAATTGTGTATATTTTTATTTTTCAAAATTGTTACCATCAGTCGGTATGGTAGATTTCTATGTCGGTAATTTTGTATATTTTTATTTTCCAAATTTTTTTTTACCATCAGTCGGTATGGTTTAATATTTCACTAAAACAGCGAAATTTTTCGCTATTCGAGAGAAATTTATCGCTGTTTCAGGCGAAGATTTTTTTCACGTGTATACTTATAAAATATTTTTATAATTTTTTTTTCTATATTCAGCATCTATTAAAAAATAAAATTGAAAATAAATGAAAATTAAAGGAAAAGAAAATTGATAATAATAATTATAAAAGGAAATTTTCTAATTTTGCAATTTTGATACAAATAGGATGTTAATTTGTGTGAAACGATCTACATACATATAACGACCGTGCTACCAAAATGAGTCAATCCCCCATTGTGAGACAATTACCAAGCTCGTGTGAAGATAGGGTTTGGTAGTTGATTAAACGCGAGATGATTGGAAGTTAACGACCGCTTAATAACTTCATTATGTCATTTCTTCGTTGCCTAAAGGAAAAGTGGAAGGAAAAGTGGAAGGAGAGTATATATATATATATACATAGGAAGGAAACGTTGAGTACAAAAGGGGGTTAAAGGTACCAAGGGATTCTGCTTTCAAAGTAAAGCGTATCACGGTTTCCGCAATAACGCCCAGATTAATTTGGATATGTGCTTTTCCAAGTCAGAAATTACACTCTAAGGCTCCCCTAATCCATTTGTTAATAAAAGATTTCATTTCAATCCCGCGAGAATTTACAAAGTTAAATTATATATACACACAAACGCAATGGAAAAAGCCTTTCAGAAATAATATATATATATGTAACACTTTTCACTCAAAATAATTTCAGAAGAATAAAAAGAAATTTAATTCATTGCCGATAATTGAAAAAAAAAAACAATTTTTTATATAAAATATAAAATAATTTGTTCATAAGAAACCTCGAATTTTTTTTTTTTATTTTGAAATACGAAAAAACATTTTATGATGTAAAAAAAAACCATACCGAGAAAGAAATATTTTTCCGATTGCCTCTTACAAATTAAATTTAACGAACAAGCATTCGTTAAATTTCATTCGCGTAACCATTTGTGTTCAATTTATCAATATTCTATTGTTAAAAAATAATTTACAAATATATAATAAATCAATTTAGTAAAAAAAAAGCAAAAATTCTAAAAATGAATTAAATTTTTTCGAATTATAGATGCTTTTTTTTAATTTAATCTCTTTAAAGTAAATTAAACGAGAAAATGACAAAGCAAAATAATTTTCAAAGCATACGAACTGTATTGGAAATTTGAAATTCCAAGAGTAAATTAACAAAAAGGAAAAATTGTATTAATATATAAAAAAAAAAAACAATAACTCACCTCGTACTCCTTTCGTACCCGGGGAACCAGATTCACCTTTCTGTCCAGGAATTCCTGAAAAATGATAAATAACACGAATTTAGAAAAAATTCGCAACATAATTATAATTTAAAATTACCACTTTAATCAAATAATACACTGAAAAAAAAAATTTTTTTATTTGATTTAAATACTCGATAACTTGACTATTATCAAATAAATATTTATTTGCGTATCAAATAATTATGGTATATGTTTCAAATAAAGAAATTATTGATTCAAATACAATTTCTTTAATTCAAATAAAAATTATTATGTTCAAGTAAATATTTATTTGATAATAGTAAAGAGTAACCAATTATTAGAAACAAATAATTTTTTTTTTCAGTGTAATTAGAAAATTTTTAGATCAATATTTTTAAATTAAAAATTAAGCACGTAGATAAGAAAAAAAAAATTTCTATTTTTAAAAAGTTCGAAACTTTGTTTAAAAAAAAAAATATGGTCGTTTGTTATTATAAATGTGTCAAAAGTATGAAAAATAAAAGTTATTTCAATTCTTTTTCTCTTTGAGTCGTAAAAGAACATTTTATTGTTTCCAATAAACTCTAGGTAGTTTCAACAAAATGGACGTGAAACGAAATCAGTGAACAGAATGATTTGTTGAATTATTACTTCGTCTCCTATGCATTATTCACATAAACTGACGGTAAATCAATAATAGCCTTTCGAGAGTTTTGATATGTGACAAACTTGAGGATGAGTCTTATTTCTTTCTTAAGCTCGTTTTTGCGGAAAATCATTTTCCCATAATCCCGCATATATATACATAAAAAAAAGAAATGAAAAATTTCTTTTCTTATATTAAATCGAAAGTTAATCTTTCACGAGGAAAAAAATAACTATAATTACTAATTATTAATTTTTTTTTACAAATTTTTTCATTAAAATAAATATTAATATTTATTAAATTTTTTCATCTTTAGAGTTGTCAGCTGAAAACTTTAGTTACATCAACAAAAAAAAAAAAAGTTGGTAATTTTTTTCTGGTCGATAAATTTTATAAGAAGTGCCTGTAAAACAGTATTATTTGGTTTGGAAAACATCTGCAAATAATTGATATACTTTACTTTCATTGTCTTTTGTGTGTTGGAAACATAAAGTTTTCGTTAAGAGGGAACAAACGGTGGAAAGTAAAGTCTATCATCTGCAGACAACTCCTATTTCATAATGGAAGTGTTCACTACTGGATAAAAGCTTCGGGCAACACGTGCACTATATAAGAAAAAAGTTGATCCCTCTGGTGTATGTAAATCCTTTGTATCCATGCATCTTTCAAAACTCTGTTTTACTTTTTTTCCAAACAAGAAAATCACTATATGGTTTCTTCTTTCAAAAAAAAAAAAAAACAAAAAACAAGAAAAACTCCTCTAAAGTTTATAAATTCATTATCGCAAAAACATTGCATTAAGAAAATATTTGCTAAAAAAAAAAATAAGAAAAAGCAACAAAAAATAAATACAATAGAAAAGAAAAAATATATTAGAAAAGCAATAAAAAATAATAAAAAAGAGAAATAATAAATTTGAAATTTTTTTTATATAATTAATTATCTAAATTAGTTTCAATTTACCAACTACTTCATATATGGAAATCTATAATCCTCTCATTTAAAATGCACAAAACAAGTTTCGAGAACCTTTGAATTATATATATAAAAGCATACTTCTAAATAGCCTGGTACTGAAAGTAAATAAATTTTCATGATTAATTTCCCTAATTTGCATAATTTGATAATAGTTACAAAACGCGAAATGTCTGCAAAGCTTGTTAATTTTTTTGAATTACTTTATTTATTTTTTGATAAACAAATTTTTTATTTTTTCCAAAAGTGTAAAATTCAATATAATAAATTTTTCTTTTAGCAATTTTTGTCCAATTCGTAAAAACTGTTTTTAAAAAATTAATCAATCTCCCTCAGTTGATGTTAAAAAAAAAAAAAAATTTTCACGTTAAAACAAGAAAGAAAATAAAGAAAAACTGTGTTTTTAACATCGGTTTCGTTTAATCGTTACTTCATTATTTTTAGTTACTTTTATTTGCTTTTATTAACTTTTATTTGCTTTTATTTACTTTTATTTACTTTTATTTGCTTTTATTATTTTTAATACTTTCATTATTTTCATTAAAAAAAAAAAACATTTTAAAAATTATCGAAGATCAATATTAAAAAATCTACTAAAATTGTTTCTCACTTCTATTAATCAGAAAAAAAATTCACTGATACAAACAAGGAAATGAATTTTTATTTTAGAAAAAATTTTCTTTCGAACTACCAATTTTTTTTTTGAATCAATTAAATAAATGTATTTGGGGGAGGGGGTATAGGGTTTATAGAAGGGGTATATAGGGGTATATAGGCTACACAGTTAACCAAACTTTTGGTTGAATCAACAAAATGTTCATTTGGCTCAATCAAATTCTTTCTTCCTTCGAAATAACGCGAAATATTTATTAAACATAAACCAAACGTTTATTTAGATCAAATAAATATGTATTATGAATCAAACAAATTTTGTTTAAAATAATAAAAAAAAATATAATAAAATAAATATAAATAAATAATTAACGAGAAAAAAAATTTAACTCAGAGCTAAATAAATATTATTTTTCATCTTCTTTTTATAAATGTGAAACTTTATATATCGATAAAATATCATATATTTATGAAACAAATAATTGCGCAAAATATCGCAAAATAGAAAGAATATGAAAAAGAATTTAAAAAAAAAGTGTTTCAAAAAATGTGTGTATTGTGAACCGTAAAAATAAGCGATTTCTATACTGTCGGATGATCAAATACACTTTTCGCGTTTTAAAACCGGATTTTTCACTCTCTCTCTCTCTCTTTTTTTTTTATAAAAGAACAGAATGTCAACGTCTCTTTCTTCGCGTGACACAATGCACCGAGGATCACTGATTCAGTTTACAACACAGAGATTTTCTGTAGATATATATATACTGAAAAGCCGCCTACGCAGCACACATGTCAAATTCATTTTCGCGCGTCTAAGCAAATTCATACGTCCATCGTAATGTGAGAAGTGACTTCGATACTGAAGGGTAAATCATATTTGTATAGAATGAAAAAGATCCAATGTGGATATAGAAATCTTTCTCTCGTTTAACGCGAAATATCTTATGCAGCAGAGGGATAAAATCTGCAGAAAGAGAGAAAGAGAGAGAGAGAGAGAGAGAGGACCAAATTCGCTAGGAATGAGGAAAAGCGTGGAAATTTCCCATCCTCACAATGTCATATGAATTTCGTATGACATAAATCTACAGAGAATCGATTTCTATTCGTAGAAATGTATGCAGAACATTTTTAAATCAATGATATACCGTGAATTCCTTTTCCACAGAGTCTCGCATAAAGTACCACACATACTTCTCACCAACTGACAAGAATTAATGTAGCCTATGAATAACGATCTTCTCAATTCTTCGAGATCGATAAAAAGCTTCTCGCTTATTTGTGCCACCAGTTTATATTTACGAGCCAGTAATTATACATATTTTCCCCCAAAAAAAAGATTTTTTAAATTATCTCGATAATTATTTTTCAAAATTTTTATAAATAAAAAAAATTAAATTAAAATAAATACCTATTTAATTCAATAAAAATTTATTAAATTTAATTAAAAAGTAAATTTAAAAAAGGAAAAAAAAGCAATTTTGTTGTTTCAGCCAAAGTTTTGTTATGCCAACTAAAGTTTAGTTCGGACAACCAAAATTTTGTTGACGCAACAAAAAAAAAAAAATTGGTTTATACATTAAAGCAAAATATTTTCTTGTAATTTTGAATTTCATCTACTCTCTAAATCTGAATTAGTAAAAATGTTTACTAATTTAAATTAGTGACTCACTTTTTGCTTCTGAATTAGTAAAATTTTACTAATTATTAGTAACTTTTACTATAACAATTAGTAAAATTTAACTAATTCTAAAGCAAAAAACTAATTTAAATTAGTAAACATTTTTACTAATTCAGATTTAGAGAGTAATAAAAAAGATAATGAGTACAAAAATCCCATAAATATAAGAAAACTAAATTAAATAATTTTCAGTTCATTTTCAAAGAAACAAGGAGTTAATCAAGTAAGAGAGAGAGAGAGAAGATTTGAATGAAGGAGTTTCAAAGACAGTTTCCCGCTATAAATGCTACACTAATTGCTCCAACTTACACGACATTTACAAATATAAGTGTAAATTTAACGAAGCAGATATAAATTTATTTCACCTTTATATATATATATATATATATATACGTTACATTTTGAAAATAATTTTAGAAACATTTTCCGTATTAATGAAATTTCTGATTATAAATTGGTTAAAATATTATAAATATAATCCTTTCATTTTGTGGGAGAAATGAATTATGAGGATAATAAAAAAGTTGTTATATATAGTATATATATATATATCTGAAAATCAACTTTAATTTTCAGCAAGAAATTTATAATGGACTAAAGAACGTGTGCAGAGAAGCGAATGTAAGTTTATAACTTTCAAGGAAAGCTTCTCGCCTTACATTTTCAAAGTTTGACGTTCTTGAAATGTATTTTACTATGCAGTTATGTACTCAAAGATGGTACAAAATATTCAAACATAAATTTTATATACATTTAATTCATTTACATCGCATATAATAATATTAATTTTATAAATCCTAAATTGGGGAAAATTACAGTATTTCTAATTAAAAATTTTTGACTATTTTTAAAAATGGAAAAAAAACTTTTCTATAATGGAATTTTAGATACTCTGATGATATGGTGGAAGTGAGTGTTCATATCGTGAGTATATTATTTCGATGCAACGAGGTGGTAAGCCAAGTTTGTAATAACTATTATCTAGTTGTTGTCATCTAGAAGCGAAAGAGGCAATGCCTTTGAGCTTAACACAATTTATTAGATGCCTAACCAACTAAGCGAATCAGGTCCCACTAACTCAAGATAAATGCAACACAGACATACCACTTTCCTTAAGTGATTCTAGTTAGTTAATGTTTC